CTTTATAATCCAAGCAGCCAGATTTTTCTGTATTGTTAAAGTACTCTTGAGCAATAGTTCTGCAGCTTTCTAAAGGCTGCTTTTCACTGTTTTAGACCAGTCCTTGTATTGGAATGTTTTTTTGTGTGTTAGAAGTTTGTGTGCCTGAACTTGTCACGTCACAGTGGCCCATGGAAAAGGGATGGACTCGGTGTAACAAAAGAGTCTTTATTCACAACGCTTGGAAGCTAACAGAAAACTTAGACTATTATTAAGGAACGTAAACTAGACGTCTGAGGCAAGAGAAACTATGACCATAACAAAACTATGACTAGATAGCAGTGACGACTGGGCAGGGGAAACTGTGGCTGGCCAGGGCACTGAAACAGAGGAGAGAGCAGTCAGGGGAATCCAACAGAGAGCTGCGAGTTAATCCGAGAATAATTACACTGGGCTGCCTTACGTGCTTGCAGGTGGAGGTTGCTTGGAGGGGGAAGGCAGGAGACAAAGGTCCAGGTGGGTACTGCGTGCAATGCAGGGAGGTAGGCCAGAGAGACTGGCAGTTTGAAAGGGGAGACGTTACCGGCAGCTGCAAACCAGAATCCAGAAGAGCTTGTACAGAGGAGACTTGGTAGGTGGGTTCCAGATGCCGACGAGAAAACAGAGGAATTAGGTAAGTACACACGATGATACACCAAGGTACAGACGTGAGTTGGCAGCTAATCTGGCAAAGACTAGTTGTGTGCGCAGGTCATAAATACTGCCGGTGTGATTGCCATCAGGTGAGGAACAACAAAGACTCCACTCAGAGGGTAGGAACAATGCAGTGGAAAACTACCCAGACCATGACACCAAGGGTCGACCCCCGGGGACCGATCCAGCCCCGACCCGGGCTGAGCTCTGTAAAAAGCAGAAAGCAAAGCAGGATCCAAAATCAACGAACGGGACACCCAGGACCGCTCCTCAGGCCCATAACCCTCCCAGTCCACAAAGAACTGCCGGCCCCGTCCAGAATGCACTGGACCACGAAGGCAGGATGCCTGTCAACGAGCCGGGCAGGAGGAGGGGGATCAGAAGGAGGGCACAACGGACTCATGACCACTGGCTTGACCTGGGAGACGTGGAATGTCGGGTGAATCCGCAGCGAGGAAGGCAGTTTCAATCGCAGCGCAGATGGGCTGAGGACCTGCTCCACCTCGAAGGGTGGGACAGTTTACGAGATGCCACCCTGAGGGGCACGTCCTTAGCAGACAACCACACCTTCTGTCCAGGGGAGTAAGCAGGGGCAGCTCTGCGGCGACGG